TTCCCACTATTGGACAACATGCCAGTGAGTTTACTGGGCTGCTCGATTTCAGATCACCCGCTAAAAGTTCAACTTTTAGTGGGTTAAGCGGAAACTGCCACTAAACACTAAAAAGCTAAAAGGCTAAGGGGATGGCTGGGAGCCACCAAGTTTAATAGGGAAAGAAGAAAAGCCCAACCATTTTAGGCGGGAGTTGATTCCTCAAAAAAGACGAGCGAGCCACCCAGATTGGACGTGGCTCAAAGCTTGGTTGCTGTTGACCCCTCTGCAACACGTGAATCACCCTTTGCAGGTTCTAAAGACAATTTTAGTGGACGCATTCAACCAGCTTCTATCGAAAACATGCTTCCCACCACTTTCTCACACAGAACTTCTCTTCCCACCAGTTGTCACGTGTCGTTTGGGCCCCTCATTTAAAGCACATGCCACCAGTCGAGCTTAGTTTGTTTTGTTTTGCCTAGGCTTCCTTGCATGTGACCTGGAAAATACTTGAATGATCACACCAAACAACTGTAATAGGGAACCACCTCAGAAATGGATATGAATCCCCACCGAATTCTGATGTCCACCATTTCGGGCCCGGGACCCAGTAAAATACACACCCGTATAGCGAGGCTTTAACACTTTACCAAGAACCACCCCAGCGGTACCGAGGCTCCAAGAAACGCGCAACAACGTGGAGGCCGAGAAAGCGCTTGAGGCTCGCTACCCATTTTGGGGTATGTATAACTCACTTCCGATCGAACAGATCGGCACAGAAGTCCAGTTTTACGGTCCGGATCCCGATTTTGACACATGCCATTTTGGGATTCCCTGGAGGCCAAAGTGGGTCCGGCGGCCTGAGGGCCCCGCCCAAGGTGGAGGGATCCATCTCATCCAAGGCTTTGGCAGCTTTCGATGGGTCTCCTGACGGCGTCAGCGATGCAGAAAAACTTTCCCCCCCCCCCGCCCCCCAAATCTTGCGGCGGACGAAATCAGTGGCTCAGAGCCGTGCGCTTCAGCGAAAGTCTCCTGGAGAACCCCTTGATCAATACTGTGGATGGACGAAATCCATTTCGCGCCGCGAAATGAAACCACGAAATGGAAACCACTCTTTGAGTCAAGGGTATTTTTCCATCCGACGGTACTGGCGCCACAGTGGCGGAAGACCAGTGGGTTCCTGAAGGCGGTTCATGGATTTCGTCCACCTCAAAAAAGGGGGCCTTCAGGTCCAAACACTTGGCAATCGGTTTACGGGCTTCCAGCAAAGCGGCTCTTTGAGGGAATGGACATGGACCAACAAAACCCTCTTTGAAATGGGCAGAACAGCTGGGTCCTCCAGTAGAGAGGTTAGAATACGGATTGCCCTTTTCTTTCTGTAGTCTTCCATTTGAGTAGGGAAAGCCTCCCCAAAAAAAGCGTAAAAGGGCACCTACTGGGGGACCTAGACAAATATCCGAATGTCCATTTGCTCGACTTGAGGGACAGAGTTGTTTTCACTGCATTGACTCTACTTTGACCCAACCTGCGCAGTGATGCTTGCGGGAATTGGGGCTGCCCAATGGTCCTTGCCTGGCTTGTTGGCTAAAGCACATTCATATGGCTAACAAAATCCTCCCTAAGAAGGGCCCAAAAAGCACCCAAAACCCACTAAATTGTGGTACCAAGATGGTTATGAAGGGGTGCACATAGACGTTACTACCCCACCCCCCGGGTTGATTTGATCGGGGGTGCCCAATTCAATGTGGGGATTCAGACCACGTTTGGAGCGGAAAACTTCCCAGCCCCCCATGAAACCAGGGAACTGAAGCACCTGAAATTGCCCAATGGGTTTTGGAGATCATGGGGCATCATGGGGCTGGGGGAGCCCAAACAAGCCCAAGAAGAACCGCCTTCTTGAGGGTTTCTTTGGGCTCGCTCCCTCCCCCACATGAAAAAATCGGGTTGGGCGCGGCTCGCGGTTTGCATATGGCCCACGCCTTCGGCCTGTGACAAGCTCTCTCCCAGGTCCGCCAGCTGCGCAAAGGGATCGCCGGAGCCTCTCGCGAGGCCAAAAGAAGACAAAGACGTCCCGAGCAGCTGCCATGGGCACCCCCCTTTTTATCTCCAAATCCCAGCTTTGCTCCTGGGAAGAAAGCAGCAGCCCCCCCCTACTAGAAACCCTGTTCAAGGGAGGTTGTTCGCCAAACAGGTTGAAAAGGCAAACCCTGGGTTGCACTGAGTACGCCGTATTCTTTCGGATCTTCTTTTTCCGCAGTGGACACCAAAATAAGCTCGGGCGATATCCCCAACAGGACCACACCCTCCCAGAATCCTCGCGGAACGCCCCATCCTTACCGCCGGTGTTGCTGAGGATGCCGCCTTGTAACTTTCTAAAGCAAGCTACGAGTCTCGTGGAACCCTGCAACCCTCATAGAACCTTACCTCAACCACCCCGCAGCCCTTGCGGAACCTCGTGAAACCCTGCTAGAACCGTGCTGGAACCACCTTACCTGGTGGAACCCTCATGGAACCTTACCTCAAACCAGCCCGGACCGCTGGTGGAACCCTGGCGCAATTTTCGTGGAACCTTCCTCAGCCCAGACCACCCCGCAGCCCTCGAAGAAATTGGTGGAACCATGCTAAAGCCCTCGTCCAGAGGAGCACGACGGGCTGGTGGAACCCTGGTGAAACCTTGTCAAACCTTACCTCAAACCACCCCGGACCACCCTACAGCCCTCGCAAATCTGGTGGAAGCCTTGTGGAACCTTACCTCAGCCCTCGTGGAACCGCAGCCGTGACCCTGCTGGTCGAACCCTTGTGGAACCTTCCTCAAACCACCCCGCAGCCCTCGAAGAAATTGGTGGAACCCTGGTGGAACCCTTGTGGAACCTTACCTCAAACCACCCCAGACCACCCCGCAGCCCTTGCAGAACCTGGTGGAACCCTGGTTCGCAAATGGTGGAACCTAGCTGGTGGAACGCTGGTGGAACCCTGGTGGAACCCTGGTGGAACCGTCGCCCCGAACCACCCCAAGAAGAAAACTTCTCTCTCGCCCAGGCCTCCCTTGCCTTTCTTTGGCTTCCCAGCCACCAGCAAGAGAGCGCAAAGCCCTGGACGCATCGAGCGGGGCTTCAACACCCGAGCCACCTGGGAAACGAACTTCTGGGAACTGAACCCCTGGTTGGGCTTGATTCATCGTTAGTTTTGGCCGTTAGGGGATATCCGCCCGAATACGAAGGGTGCAAAAGGACAACATGGCTTCGTATCTGGACCTAATCAGTCTTTGCCGGCCCAGTTTTGGCGGGCCCCAGATCCGTGGAACATTCCGATTGCGGGCTGCAAAGTCACCGTGGACCTGGCTATTCCGAGCCGTCGATCGCTGGTCATGGGTCATTTCCGCTAAACTCACTTCCTCAGGAGTGGATTGGGCAGAAAAGTCTGATTACAACTAAAAGGGTACAAATTGCAGGAACTCAAGAACTGAGTTTAGACCACTCAACTCAACGTTTTGACTCGTCCCCCATGAGTCTTGTTGCACAAAGCCATCTTTGCAGGTATCTGCATACATGTCTCACTGGAACAGCGAGAAATCGCTCCTGCAAGTTGCCGCAGCATGTCCTCCAAAATCCTGAGCGCTTCTCAACGTCGGAAACATTGTCGCAGGGTGTGGTCTCCCATTCTTCAAGGGTTTCTACACTACCACGGGGGCTGTTCTATGTATTCCACAAACAGTGAAAAAGACAAACCCATTGCTGTCGGGACCCTGACGTGGCGATTCTCGCATGGATTGCCGATGTTCTCTGCGACTCCGGGAATTGCAGCGAGAATCCCCTCAATTGAGCAGCGACCGAAACGACCCCATGGATTCTGCCAGGGTTGTAAAGGTGTACGCCTTTCTATTCGCCTCATGCAATCAGGAACGGAAAACCACCTGCTAAAATGGCCCAAGCTTGAGGTTTTGGGCGGCGCTCACTCCCCGATGACGTCAAGTTGGTTGAACACTGCTTCAGCTTCCCCGCGGTGCTCGGGTCTCTGGTCTCTCACACCGAGGCCGCCGCTTCAAGGGGAAAACGACCAACGGTGTGGCAGTGTGGCAATGTTTTTGCTTTTTTGTTTCTCAATGACCTCTCCTTCGTTCCTTCGTGGGTAGCTTCAACTTCTGACATGTGCGCTTGCTTGCACGGACTTTTGGACATCTGCGTCTCCCCTGAAGGGAAAATGGCAGCGGGGGCGCTTTGAGTTGCGCGGTTTGCGGCCGGCCACTCGGCCACTCAGCTCCTTCAAACGAGTATTTCAACGAGTGACGTCTGTTACTTTGATCATGGCCTGGGTCTATGCGGCAAATATCACGGCCGCCACAAAAAGTTCAAACGCTGCCTCTGGCCATGAACCTCAAATCTCAGGACATCTCATGGACATATGGCATGGGTTGGGTGACATGCAGTGCGTACCACAACCAGAAAGCGGGTCCATCCGAAACGGGAACATAGCATGAGCATTGTACATAATAAGGGTTTACTTGGATGTTTGGCCAACTTAGCAAGTGGTTAGCCACTTGGGTTACCACCCCCGAAAAATCACTGAACGGGGGACTCAAAAGCAGGCTATAACCGAACGGTTTCCAACAACTTACTTGGCCGAACACCCAAGTTGGGGACAATTAAAGACCGATCCCACCCCCTAAAACCGGAAAATATCAAGGGTTCGTTGGGGTTCAGACAAGTTACCCATTCACAGGCCGTATGGAATTCCCGAGGCTACTTTCATCAGTGAGACCGGTTCCGTGCACCACAGTGCCGCCGTGCCCCCGCCTTGAAAGGGTGGGAGGGGTAAAAGGTCAGCTTTTTGGAAGGTACCCTTGGAGATTGGTATGGGACACCAAAACTCAACACGGAAATGTCGTATCAAACGGATACCGCAGCCCAAACGTATCAAAGAGGAAAAGCCTCAAACTTTGACCACCTCACCCCGAAAGCATTGTGGCGAGACCGAACAACCCACGCGGTCCGACGTGTCCCAAAGCCGCCCCCAACGCGGTCCACCACGCTGTCGCGAGGCGAGTGTCCACGACTGCTGCTGCGACTGCTCGCGCGGCCTTAAAAGCAAAAATTGAGAGCGGAGCTTCGGAAAGCAAACGTCGTCCCCATTCCAGGGATCCTTCTTTCTACAAAACCTCCGGAGGTCAGAGGAAAACGGCTGTTTCTTGAACAGAACGATGGTTGAAAAGAATGGGGAATCAACCAAGAGCAGTGCCCTCTTCACCTTTTGGATGGCACGCATCTTTTTGTTGGAGTTGGCAGCCCTTGTCCGGTCCAAAAGGGAAGCCAAAAGAAAAACCACCCAGTTTGGGGGTCTCAAAACTCGGTTGCTTTCTACTGCCCTGCTAAAAGTTTTAACTTTTAGTGGTTTAATACGGAAAACCTATTAGTTGGCAAAAAGTTAAATTCCTAACATCCCTTGGCAACATGCACCAAAGAAAAAGCATACCCAAAGCCCGCGGGTCTCCTCACTTGCACGGACCTTGGAAATCAACTCATTTCCGATCGAGTGGATGGGCCCAAAAAACCACGAAAAAGCTGTTGAATCCCACTAGCATGGTCCAAACCCAAGCCAAGAAGCGTAGAGTCCGGCAACTCAGGAAGTCACTACAGGTGATCACCCTTTGGTACCTTGACTAAGCGTGGAGCAAAGCAGGGGAAGAGACAAATCAGGGGACCCCTTGTTTGATTTTAAAAAGGAAGGGAAACCTGCCGCAGGCAGGAATTGAGCCCCATTGCACGAAACATTTGAATGGGGTCTCGAAATGGGTGTGTGTGTGTGTGTAAATTCTTTGAGGGTAATGTTAACCCCGGATTGGTTGATTCATAGGGGGGGTCCCAAATTAGTGGGGGTTCATCACTTCTGGAGGGAACACCCCCCTAATAATGGGACGGGTTTATTAATCCTGGGTCAACAGTACCGCTTTGTAGCACGGTTTAGGGTGGTAATGAACATGTCAGAAGTCAAACACCACTCTGAGTATGTGGATAAAAATTCCTCAACCTCCCTATTCATAGTATCCAAATGTGTGCGTGTGCTTTCTTTGAGGGTGCCGCGTTTGAGGACGGCTTCCCACCTTTCAAGCAGAATGATCCTGGGCTCCCTCCCGTTGGGGCTGTCCGAAACATGTGTAGTTCCCCTTGAGCTGCCCGCAACTAGGGGCATGCGTTGTTTCTTGAGGGCTCGGCCTGGCTCTTTTCAAATGGTTTGCTGCCAAAACAAGGATCAAGGAGACACCAACAAAACCGCCTCGTTTTGCAAAAATAGGGTGGTTGCCCCAGAACGGAAGGATCTAGCAACAAACAACCCACATTGATCAGCCGGAAGTTGACCAACCCCAGAAATTAGATGTTAGAATAAGATAACCCCATGGTTTTCAAAGTGAGCAGGGCATTTCCAAACGATCGAGGCGGGAGGGTTGTCAAAAGGGACCTTGTTCAAGGGCCTTTTCAAGTATGGGTGTTGGAGATACGGACGCTCACAGACTTATATAATATACCACAGATATAAGCGTGTAAGGCTGTATATACGTGCACCTCTAGCCCTCCTGTAATATGGAACGCCTTGATTCAAGGGTCCTTTACATGGGATGACCAGGGGTGGGGAAACCACAAAAAGAGATGAATGTCACGCCATGGGCAAAGTGGGTCATTTGGGGGCCCTAAATGGAATATTGATCAACCCCCCATATAGTGCCCCCAAAATGGGACTTCTGCAAAGCCCAGACCTCCTTCCTCCATACCTCCATATACCTCCAAGGCCCATACCTTTTTCTGTATGATCTTTCAGAGTTGGAAACTCCTCAGTGGAAGATGAACATCCATCCTCGAATTCCGTCCACCAACCACCAATCAGAATTCGCACGCAAAATTATTGGCTTCCATTTGTGAAGCTCCTGGAAAAAAAACACTAGTGGTAGATTCCTTTTAACACCAACAGGGCATTTGTATCTATATATTTTTTAAGTCTTAAGTAAATGGAAGTTGGCTTGCACTCCAATCCGGCGCCCACTTCCTTTTTCGACCGCTTCGGTGCTCCGAGCACGTCTCCGGGCTCCCGCGCGACTGTCCTCCGGAAACGTCATCCTCTGCGCCGAGACGCGTGCCCCGTGCGCGGTGAACCGCCGTGATTCAAGAACAAAACTACAGCCAGGCTCCGCCAACTAAGAGGTACCTGATCCACAGGGCAAATCGCTTGAAGAATGCTTCTAGAGCTTGGCTACCCTATTCTTTTTCGGGAACTCTTCTCTAAACCGAAGAACATCACTTGGTGCCTGCACCGGCTGTTCACATGGGCGCTATAGGAGGCCCATGGGGACTTTCAGGTGGAATGTCCAACTTATGGAGAGACTTCCTCCAAACTATCTAGGTCTAGTAGAGATCTTAAAGATAAGGGTACCCATTTTTCTGCCTTCTATTTTAGTAGGGGAACCCTCCCCCCAAAAAAAACGGTAGACGGGCACTACAGGAGGGACCTAGCTACTCCTCCAGATGGAAAATCCGGTTCTTCCAAAGCCAGGGACCCCTTCAAATGCAAATCCAAACCAATCCACATGACAGAGCACATGGAACCATACATGGAGATGTCAGAAATCTCCCCTCCCGGAATTCCATTGGTTCAAATCCCCCAACCAACCCAAACCACCAATTAACTTCCATGTGCTTGAGCCCCCGGGAAGAAACAAACAGATTTCCAGTACTGATAGATTTCCAAGAAAGCAAACAGGGGAAATAACACATATTCATTTCAGCAAATGGAAGTTAAGGTTTACCCTCAGATGACCGGTGGCCACGGGAAGAAAAGGGCATCCTTTGGCATCCTTGTTGGTTGGTTGAGTTTAAAGGAATCGGAACCCTTCCCTCAAAAAAGTTGAAAAAAGGGCGGAATCCACTGGGCAACGGAGTACCTGACGTTGGGCCCATTTCGGACCATAACTTTTCTTTGCGTTTCGTCCCCTGGAAACAAAATATAAAACATATTTCCGGTAGTGAAATCGATTCCCTTCAAAACCAACAGGGGAAAAACGGAAATTATTTTCAGCAAATGGAAGATACACCCAAAGGAAAATTCTTGGCGCAGGGCTGGGAGGAGCTGCCCTGGCGCGTCGCGCGGAAGCTGGAGCCGCTCCTGGATTTTGCGTTCTCTCTCTCCACGGCGTCAGCTGGGGCGTGGCTGGGGCAAACCGCAACTTTTTAGGGCAGATGGATGGCCCTGGTAGATGATAAAAAAACCACCAGGTAAACCAGGAATCGCCATCCTACTTGTCTGGGCGAATTATCATTGTTCACATTTTTCACCACCGGAATAAGGTGGCTGGAAGGATGTTCTCCGGATAAACCACCATTTGGGGTAAATTCGGTCGTGTGAGGTCGTTGTAATTCACCCAGCTCCAGTTACATTTTGGTGCCATTTCGGTACATGCTTTTGAGCCACAGCCTTTTTTCGCTTCAGTTTGGACTTTCAAAATGCGGCAATTTGAGTGGAACCCACCTGCAACCTAGCACTTTTGACGATATCTCTCTTCTTTGGACATTCAAACCGCGCTTTCCATTTTCCAAACTTTGTCCCCAGAGTTCCTTGCCCCCAGTAAAGGCATGGCAAGGACCCAATTTGGATGATGACAAATGGCTACGTAAACAATGGTGGTTATATGAAGCCAACCATTGTTTTAACGGTGGGTTGAGCCCCAGGGTTTGTGCTTTCGATCATGACTGGCCTCCAGACTTGCTTTCCCTTTCAGGTACCCCAAACCGTAGGGGCCTGGAGTTCCCTTTGTTGGACATTCAAAAGTTGATTTTGTTTTTACAGGAACCCGCCGGTACACTGCCAGTTGTGAAGGGATATCCAGTGATCCCCGAACAAGGGTATAAGCCCAAGAAATGATTCTCTGTAAAGACCAACCCACCACTAAACTGCCACTTTTGAGGGGATCCCCGAACAAAAAAGCCTACAAGAACCAAGCCCTACTGTGGATGGTTGAATTCCTGCGCCACCTAAGAAACCCTGGAATGATGATTCCCCTTCAAATACCAACAAACAATGGTTTCACCCATGGTTTCACAGCGGTGCAAACGGATTTCATCCATCCAGAGTATGAGGGAATGGGGAGTTAGGGAACCATGCACATCGTGCATGCAATTTCTTCAGCCTGCTACATCATGGGTGTTGGAGGTATTCAGCAAAAACAACTTTTAGAAGGGGTTGATATACAAGCATGTGTTGGCGGACAACAAAACCAAATCATACCTCCAAAACCCACACAGGGTGGCTTTTGAGGTGACCTTCCCCGCCCTCCCCCCCAAAAAAAACAGAAGGAAAATAAAAGATATGATGTTCCTTGTGGCTTCCCCTTAAAAACCGACCACAAGGGGCTTCTAACCCGAAAAAAGAAACACCCATACCGCGCATGGCTTTGCTGGCTGCTAGCCGTCGAAGCGATGGTTGAAGCAAACAGAACAGCGACCAAAACCCGAGCTGACTGAGAGTTCTATATAAAGGTTTACAGTAATAAGCTGAACTGCATGTTGGGGGATTCCGACCTTGAACGCCTCCATTTGCATAATTAAGTCCCCTCGGCAAAAACGCAAAAAAAAAAAAACATATTTGTTTCCAGTAGTGACCGGTTCCCTTTGAAACCAGGGGGAAAATCGACAAGATCCATTTCAGCAAACTCAAGAAACGCCACGCCCTCGCTTCTTGCCTGCTGGTGTCCGGACGGAAGGTGCACTCGCGAAGCTCCTGAAACCGATTGGTGCTCGAAAGCGATTGGCACATGCGAGTGGGTCAACCAGGTCCTCCAGATTTGAGAGGTTAGAATAAGGGTACCAACCTGTTTTTTTGTGAGGGCTAGGTCCTCCAGATTTGAGAGGTTAGAATAAGGGTACCAACCTTTTTTTTTGTGAGGGCTAGGTCCTCCAGATTTGAGAGCTTAGAATAAGTTGGTACCAACTTTTTGTTGTGAGGGCTAGGTCCTCCAAATTTGAGAGCTTAGAATAAGTTGGTACTAACTTTTTGTTGTGAGGGCTAGGTCCTCCAGATTTGAGAGGTTAGAATAAGTTGGTACCAACTTTTTGTTGTGAGGGCTAGGTCCTCCAGATTTGAGAGGTTAGAATAAGGGTACCAACTTTTTTTTGTGAGGGCTAGGTCCTCCAAATTTGACAGGTTAGAATAAGGGTACCAACTTGTTTTTTCAGTTTTGTCTATTTTAGTAGGCGAACTCTCCCCAACAAAAGGGTAAAAGGGCATTGCTGGGGGACCTAGCCAATCATTAGGGAGCACAGGTTGTTGGACGTTTCGCCAAGGAAACTCTGTGTGATAATTTCCCGAGCAAATTTGAACTAGAGATCGGGGGGATCCTTAGGTGACATTTGAAAAATGCCCCCAAACCAGCGGAAAAGAGCATTGGTTGTAGGGAGCAGGGTTGGGATATGGGGTTGGAATTTTACTAAGGACTCTCAAGCCCCAAAATCTGGCCACAGAGAACCCGTCTGAGGTGTGCCCATGATGCACCCTTAAGATTCATGGCAGTCCTGCTGCTCCCGCAGTGCTTGCCTGAGTCCAAAGGGTGGGGAGACGTCTGAAGTGGGTCGCCCACTTCTTAGTTGCTATGGACCCTTGGTAGACCTCTCTCTCTCTATATATCTGTCATGCTCACAAGAGCCATTTCGAGTCAATATAATACCTGTCAGACTGTTTGACGTGCACACATCTGCGCCAACAACACCAAACAGAACCCTGAAAAACAAACCATAGTGATCGAATCCCTTTAAAGCCTAAAAAGGGAAATGACAAACATATTCTTCAGCAAATGGAAGCTTGTGACCAAGCCGCTGGGTGTGAAAGCTCTGCTGCCAACTTTGCCTGCAAGCGCAACTCGCGAGGCGTGAGCTGAAGCAAACTTCCACCGCATGGACTTCAAAGGCCTTTGGGTTCGCTGCCCCCTTGAGTTGCTGACATGCTCGCTTCCGATGGAGATGGACCAAAAAAAGTCACCAATCTGAGTTGGTTACCCCTAAAGTGGTCGTCGCAAAAGGTTTTTAAACGCCCATGACCTCAGGAAGTGGTCGTCGCATGGGAGGAAAGATCGCATCAAGGGGGCGCTACTCTTTCTGGCTTTCTGGTGGAGGGAACTATGTGGAAGTGCTTCAAGGCTGTAGCCGCCCCTCCTGGGATGCTCCCTCTTGGTGATTTGGATTGGTTGGAGGTGTTCGGTGGTTTCCCGTTGGCCCTCAAAAGCCAGGGCCCCTTCAACTCAAAATCCAAACCACTCCAAACTGGGCCCGATTTCAGTTCCCCCCGCTCAAAGTTTGTGAATCACCTTTTTTCAGCGGCCGAAAAATTCGTTGACACTGAAACACTCCACCAACGAAGAGGATCTAAAAAAAGCTAAGGAACCAAATGCCTGGGCTTGCCACCAGGAAAAGGGGCGGCGCTTTTGTCTCCGAAACGGGGACGCTTTTGTTTGAGGCTGCCCCTCTGCTTTTTGGTGATTTTAAAAGGAAACACTAAGGGAAAACCAAAAATAAGGGAAACAACAAGAGAAACAACAGGGGAAACAACCAAAAAAAGTGGGGGATGGCCCGGTTGCGTGCCACGCAACGGCCGAGATCCATCCCGATCCCGGGACGCTCGGCTCCTCAGCGCGCCTCTTTCGCAGAAGCTCCAGCTCCCTTTCAGCGTGGCTCCGGGGATCCTGAGACTTGACGCTGACCTGGGGGTTTGGGGAGCAAAAACCATGAAACAATTCAGCAGCTAAGTGGTTGGATGTCAAGCACTGAATTAGATTTCAGCAGTTGAGTCAGTTGAGTGGTTGGATTTCAAGCACTAAGCCAGAATACGCAAAAATGGGGAAAATGTTGCCCAACGACAACCATGGAGAGGCACTCCTTGAAGTCACAACTAAAACCGAGCGCTACTAAAATGGGTACCGCCATTTGGCAGTGGCTCAAAAGGCACCTTGGTAAATGGAGCCAAAGACAAAAACCCGCAGTAACACCAGCTCTTTCATTTTGAGCCATACCCTTCCTCCAACGAACATAGCACCAGACATGGGGTCCCTTGGAGGGAGGGTAGGGAGGGCCTTCCTCCAACTAACAAGGCACCTCTGGGGGGGTACCTGGAAGAATCCTTTCCTTTTGAAGGGAGCCCCTGTCGGTTGCCATGTTAGTTGGAGGGAGGGTATGGCTCAAAATCAAAGAGCTAGGGTTACTGCGAGCTTTCGTCTTTGGCTCCATTTACCCAGGTGCCATTTTGGTACCACTTTTCTGAGCCACTGCCAAATGGTCACCCAGAACCGGCTGCAAAGAACTCAGAAGGCGGAGATCCGAAACTACCTTTATGACAAGGGGACTGTCCCCTCAGTTGCCCAAAGGACCTGCAACTAAAAGGTCAACCTTTTGGGGCCAAACATGGGCCAAGATGGGAAAACCAAAAGGTCACCCTTAAAACCACCAACCAAGGGGTACCCCAACAAAAAGGAGCCATACTCGGAGTAGCATGGACACTAACCATCATTTCTAGATGAATCTCCTTTTGAGCGGCGTGAAATTCCGGGGTTCGTTTTTTTTCCTTTTTGCCGGCGGGTTATACCCTTTTCGAGGGGAACAGCCAGACACTCACGCGTTGCACTCCTCACAAAAAACTTCCAGCCTGTAGCCACCTGCGTAGAACTCTTAAAACTGGGCTGTCCGTTTTCAGATCCCCTGCCAACAGTTCAGCTTTTCGTGGGCGATAAAAACAAATCACCCCCCCCCCCAAAAAAAACAAACAAACAAGGAAACGGATGGCTGGGAACCACCCAATGAAAGTCAGGCTCTGATTCCAGACAAGAATGGCTTTGGAATTTCAGTGAGATCTCCCCATGTGATGGCAGGAACCAGAAGTCGTGAATTGAGCTCCAGCTTTTATTTTTAAAACATCAGGCCCCGAGGCCCTTCCGAATATGTTAACCGGACAGGCCAAAATGGCTTCTTGGGCGTTCGGCGAAGTTGGTAAGTGATCGGTAACCGTTCGGCTTTAACCCACTTTTGAGTCCGGGGCTATAGTTCCAGCAGCCAGCCACTTAATGCCTTTTGCCTCCCAGATTCCAACCAAGACTAAAGTAACGGCTTGCCCAGGACACCTCCCCAACTCCCTCCGAAGCCGAAAATTTGTGCTTCCCCCAACATGCCACGACTGTCTGTTCAAAGCTTGATGCACATGCCATGTTCCACGCAGTGAAGGCCACCCGCCTGCGAAGAATTTTCGGGGCCTGCTGGGCTCCAAACCAAAAAAAAACGCGGCTACTCAGATGTTGAACCCATCTGGGTGTGGTGGTCAAACAAAAAAAGGTAACCCCAAAACGGGTTGCCCTGGTAGATGGAACCAAGGGCTAAAACCTGCGGTTCACTGGTGGTTTGATTTTTACCCATACCCAGATTGATCAACCCTAATTTATGAACCAGGCTGGTGTCCCTTTTAAATGTGGCTGGACTCAGACCACTTTTTGCAGGGGCCCAAACTGTCCAAACCCCCCCCCCCCCCCCCAAATTTCCTCCTTCCTCCCACCAACTGTCCGAACCCGTCGGAAGGTACCTCGAAGATCAGGCTCCGAAAGGGAACCTCTGTCAGGTGCTATGTTCGGAGGGAGAGAATCATAGGTAGCCGTCTGGAAAAATCGATGGCAAATGGAAGAAACCCCGCCTAAACCAGCGGAACCCATCTGCTTTTAAGCAAAAGTGACCTAAAAAGGAAAATTTATGGAGAGAACAAGCTGGGGTTGAAAGACCTGGAGGCCGAGACATCTTCGAGTCCCAAGGACCGAAGAACCTCGAGGCCCGAAGCTTCGAGAAGCTTCGGGGGCGGAGGCTTGGCCGAAGATCCACGGCGCACGTCCGGTTCAAATTTTTGGCGGGTCAAAACCCAAATCGTATTTCCAGTGAACATCAACCAATCCCCACTTAAATAGGTTCTAAAATGGGTGGTGCACCTACCCCAAAATGGTACCCACAGCCTTTTGTTTAGTTCAGCTAACCCCATTCAATCAACGCGAGTTTGATCTAATCACTATTATTTACCTAAGGACTTTCATCATCCCAATGGGGCGGCGCCGGATGCCTACTCAAATTTAGGTCTTTCCGAAAAGTTTAAAGTCCAGGAACTGGGGAGTTGAGACCCATTGAACTTCACACCTACCAATCCACTATGCGTCAAAGGCGTACCGGTCTTCCTGCTTTCCCTATAAAACCTTGAGACTAAAAGACTAAAAAGAGGTACCGAGCCTCCAAAAAAAAAAACAGCGCAGAGCACTGCAGATTCGCCCCAAGTCTCGGTCCTGCGGACCCTTGTAGCTCGCCTGACAAGCGGGGAGGTTGGCAGAGGGACGCCCTGGAGCCCACTTTCAGCCGTTAGGGGGCAAACCTTGGTTGACGTTGGAAGGGGAGCAACAAAAACATGTTTTAAGCAGTTAACTGGGGATTTCAACCACCAAACCACCATAAGCAAAAAATTGTAAGAACACCTGTTTCCCGTTGCAACCACCATGAACATCCTTTGCAGGGAGAAGCCCTGCAGGGAGGATCTCGCGACTTTGGAACAACCAGCGTGCTACTCTGGATGGTTGCGAAATCCATTTCGCACCACCTAAGACTCCCTGGAAGGAATCGATTCCCCTGGTAAATGCCAACCGACAACGGTTTCAACCATGGTTGCAAAGTGGTGCGAAATGGATTTCGTCCATCCACAGTATCCAAACATCGCGAGAGATCCCGGCAGAGAGTAAACATGTCTTGCTGGTTAGGAACCTGGGCTGCCCGATTTCAAAAAGCCCCCGCTAAAAGTGAATAACTTTTAGTGGGTTAAATGGAAAGTGCCACTAACACTAAAAGGCTGAAAGGCTGTCTGATTTCAACCTCCTCCTTTGTGAACGGCAGGCCGACCATTTCGGACAGACTCACTCCACATTTTGTAAGCGTCTCCTTGCAGTACGCGAGAACCTCCACATTCACGAGGCTGTCATCTCGATTGCGTAGCTCGTGCTGGTCAATGGGACGCACAGTACACTCTCAGGAACCGGATGGCTGGGAGCCAGCAAAGGAAAGAAGCCGTTTTCTTAAAGAAGAAGGTGTGTGCCTCTGCTCCGCTCTGAACCCTGTCCTACTGACACCCGGCGATTCAGCTGAGCTGTCGGACACGAAAAAAGTTCATATCAGCTGCGCTTTTTTTTCCCCGGTGGGCGTGTCCTTTATTCAGGCTACTTGTCTTGGGTGTGTTTGAGGGGCAACCCAAAAGGAAAACCGCAATCTTGCATCATGGGGGCTGGGGGGGAGGGAGGGGGGGGGAGCCCAAATATGCCCTTATTTAGGGCTTATTTGGGCTCCCTCCCCCCAGCCCCCATGATTGCAGGTACCCTTAACAAAAGACAGATCCATTTTGTGCCAAGAGCGAGACTATTGAAGTGCGGGCCATGGTCATTGTGGCCATGGAAAGTTCAGCCATTCTGGTTCCGGTCGGTTTTACCCCTATTGTCAAGACACATTCATGGGATTTATGATAGTATCTTCCACTTGTCCCCAAGTGAAAGCGTGCTGTGACCATGTCATATGGGCATGAAGCTTCAAACTTGGAAGCTTTTTTCTTGGCATCCCGTGAAGCCAAAGTAAGAAGAGGTACAAACTGAAAAGCTTTCCCTTTAA